TACTTAACATTCATCAGATGCGGCCTTTGCGTTGTTGCTATCTTTTGTTATGCCCTAATTTCTCCTCGGGTCACCTCGAAGGGGACTTGTTGGGTCACTGGGCACCTGCATGTCACCCTTGGAGGCGCTGCGGGACTGTTTGTACAGTGGCTTCACCTTTTCACAGCAGTGGAAGGTAAGGCCTCTGGTCTCCCATCCTTACCAACACGAGACACTGTGGCTTCCTGATCATAATTAACCTTGTGGGTGTGACCTGGTCGCTCATTGTGGCTTTGGCTTGTGATTCTATGACTGTGGTAAAGATGGTGCCTTTGTTACAACATGTGGCCTGCTGTGGTTTACTAAGAGGGAGAGTGGCCTCTGTGTGTGTGTGTGTGCTTGTGTGTGAAGGTAAGGGTGCGTGTCAAGGCTAGAGGTCAACTTCCTAGATAGCTCTCCTTGTTTTTTGAGACAGGTCTCTCACAGACCTGAAGCTCACTGATTCAGCCACTGATCACCAGGATCCTACAGGCTCTGCTTCCCTGGTACTGCTATGATCAGCTTTTATATGGTTGCTGCAGGTTGAATTTGGGTCTTTATGCTTGCACAGCAAACAGCCCACAGAGCCATTTTATAATCCCAGATACATCTTCTTGGCCAAGTAACTTAGCCAGCAGGCCACTGTTTCCATGTCTGTTCACACAATTTTTGGACAACTAAAGAGGAAAAAGTATACCCTTTATCATGAGTGGGGGGGGTTGGGACAGGGTTTCAGTGTGGCCTTGGAGGCTGTCCTGGAACTTTTTCTTATAGACCAGGCTGGTCTTGAACTCACAGAGATCCACCTGTCTCTGCCTCCCAAGTGCTGGGATTAAAGGCGTGCGCCACCAACGCCTGGCCCTTTATCATGATTTTGATGTGAGCAATCCATAACCGGTAGCTATTTCTAATAATCATCATTGGGAGCAGAGTGGGTATTTTTATAGTCACCCTCTATTTTGAGTCTCAGAGTAACCACAACCATGTTCAGGCTTGAGATACAGAAATGAGGATCCAAAAACCTGTGAGTGTGCGTGCGTGCATGCGCACACATGTAGATGTTATAGGTTGATGTTTAGACATGTTCTTTGACTGCTCTCCATCTTACCGTTTTTTTGAGACAGGATCTCTCCCTGAACCCAAGTCTCACCCTTTTGGCTAGGCTGGCAGCCAATGAGATAGCTCCAGGGATTTCTTTCTCTCTGATTGGCCAGCACTGTGGCTATATGCGCATGCCACCACACTTGGCCTTCCTGTGAGAACTCCAGTCTTTGTGGTGATATATTGTTTATGACTTAATAAAGCCACTACAGATCAAAATGCAAAACTAGCCGCAGCCACAGAGTCAGGCAATGGTGATACACACCTTTAATTCCACCAGCCACACTACTTAGCTATAGAAGCCTTGGCAAGCTTCCGTACACACATGGCATACATAAATTCACATAGGCATATACGCACACATACACTCAAACATAAAAATAATAAACAAGAGATCTCTAGGGAATCTGGGGCCTGTTTGTAGTCCTGGTTTGCTTGTATAGTCTCAGCCCCTAAACAGCTGTGGAGGCTATGTTTCTGGCTGTTGCCAAGGCTAGCCCCTTCCTCAGTCCCAGCAGGAGCCCCCAGCAATGGCGATCCCCCCTGGTGCTATACTCCTATTTGATTTGCTGTGACCAGGGGACTACTGTTTGAACCAAGCCACCTGTAATGTCATCATCTTGAATTTTATTCCACAATCTGAGAAGCAGAGAGGTAGAAGATATTTGCTTTCTATTGTGAATTTTCCCCCTCTTTCCTGGAGACTGATCTGAGAAATACTTCAGTGGCGAAAGGTCTGAGAAGGCTGATCTCGCTTAAAGCAGTTTCCCCTGGCCCAGCCAGCCCCTACCGCCAGCAGCACTGCTGTCCTTTGAAGCCCCAGACTGTCCTGTGCTGTGCCTGTGCTTATGGTTTTTAAAATGGAGTCCCAGATTGACTGTCTGTTCTCCAAAGGGTAGCCTCACACCTGGAAGACTGGGCCTCTTCTGTGAAGCTACCACGGGGGTGGAGAAGATACCAGACACCAAACCCAACCCAGGCACAGTATCTATGGCCTTAGGGACATGAAATGTGCCATTTATCACCTTGACCCTGGATGATGCGATAGCATTCGGGCAGCGGGAGGATTAGAAAAGGCCCTCATAGGAGGACACCCCAGCAGGAGAAGAATTCAGCCATGTGACACATTGGACCCAAAGGCCAGTACCTGCAAAGATCGAGGAAGCAAACAAGAAGGACAGCAAGAACCAGAGGGAGGAGGGAGAAGCAGGGGCCAGGGCAGATAAGAGCTGGACTGTGATTCTCTGAAGACGCTATCACCGGGGAGTGGAACCCTCTGACTGGTGTTTCTAAAGGCTCCAGAGCCACCGTGCAGAGGGAATGAGGTATGTGATAGGACAAGAATGGGTACAAGCACCACTAAGGAACTGGATGAGCCAGAGTGGGGCGGTGTTGTTGGAGAGCTGTGGACCAGGTTGAAATGGACCTGCTATGGCGCTGAAGATGCCTTTGTCTGACCCATGCAAGACAAAAGAGAGGCAAGCTCTGGTAGAGATACTGGCAGCTAAAATGTTCTGACTACTTATGTTGTGATATCTAGCCCCAAGATGTTAAAAACAAAATCTCATACATATAATCTCCAAGGAAGGAAGAGAGAGAGAGAAAATGAGCGCAATCCCTTTCTCTTTAGCTTTAGGAAAGCTGCCAGGCAGCAGGCTCCTCTGCTCCGTCACACCACGTGAGAGGCTTCTGGGTAGACGGGTGCATACCCATGGCTTCTCCACTCCAGCCCAGTCTCCCTGGCTGTTAACACAGCACAGGGCTGTGGTTTAACAGTATCTGGTTGGTGTTACAGTGTCTCAGAGGGGAATCCCAGGCCACTGCAAAAGCCAGCAGGCCCCAGACTGGACAGAATTGAGCTTTATCTTGAGGTTGCTGGAAAACAACCTCTTCGGTTCTCTCTCTATCCACTGTATTTTCATAATGCCTCTTTTTTTTTTTTTCTGGGCAAGTGTCAGGCTGTCCTCTGCCTCTTTGACAGAACACGTGGGCATTTGGAACTCACTCAAATAACCTAGTAATCTCACATCTCAAAGTCCTCAGTCATGTGTCTAGACTCTTCCCTGATAAGGTACCACTGCCAGAGAGCAGGCTCGGCAGTCCTTGGGAACGTGTCACTGAATGGGCTGAGCAGTCTCAGGAAAATCAGGAAGATAAAATAGTAGAATTTCTTTGATTTTGGCTTTCTGAGACAGGGTTTCAAGTAACTCCACATGTAGCTGCATCTGGCCTTCAATAGCTGTCGCCCAAGTGCCATGCACCCTCTTGCCCAGCTCAAACGATAGGATTTGTAGTTTTTGTTTTTTATTTATTTTGAGACAGGATTTCTATCTGTGTCAGTCCTGGCTGTCCCGGAAGTAGCTCTATATACCTGGCTGGCCTCGAACTCACAGAGATCCGCCTGCCTCTGCTTCCAAAGCGCTGAGATTAAAGGTGTGTGCCACCAATGCCCAGCAGGATTTGTAGTTAAGTGGATGTGTGAGGAACAGGATGAATGAGGGAGTCCCCTGGGCTTCCCCTCTGTAACACAAGCCTTACATGGTTAGCTCATGGCCCACTGCTAGGAAGGCTATGCTGGAGGGGACACCAGAAGCCATGGGTGTGCACCTGTCTAGCCAGAAACTTCTGCTGTGGGATGATGGAGCCGAGGAGCAGGCTGCCCCGGGAGTTTTCATAAACGAACAATGAATGAGCCATATAGAGAGAACGGACCAAGAATGAGACACATTTCTGAACTGTGCCACTGATGAGAAGTTGGTGGATACCTTCCTGGATAAGTTCAGGAGAACAAGCAAGTGGGGTCAAAGGCTAAGTTTGGAGCCTAAGGCTTTGAGTTTGAATGGTTTATGAGGCTCATAACTGTGTGTATTGATTGTGTAGATATTTGCTTTCATGGCTTTAAGACAGAATATATATCACCACACTATAGGTGGTGATTGGAGGAGCTATGGGCATGTTCAACTGTCCAGCCAGGAAAAGAAAGCAAGAAGCTTGGAACAGAGTCTCCTGAGTGGTGCTAGCATTTAAGGGGCAGGGAAATGCAGAAGTTCCCCCAAGGGATTCTGAGATGGAGAGGCCAGAGAGATCCAAGGAGGCCAGGAGAATGTAGGCTTCTTGAAGCCGAGGGAAGAAGGAGAAAGAAGTGGTCCATGGTCACCAGAGTCGATCATGGCGTCTGCAGCACGTCATCTGCACTTGGAAGAGAGTGAGTTGGCAAGGGAGGCACTGGAGAAGTGATGGGGGTGGGAGCCAGACTGGAGTGGGTGGAGGGGTGAATGGCGGAAACGGGATGCGGTGAGTCACTCTTTCAAAAGACTGGGCTCCAGCAGGAGGAGCCAAGCCCTGCATGGTACTAGGAGAACGTGGGGTGGAGGGAGGGCTTATTTTAAGATGAGAGACTATATTTGAATGCAGATGGAAAATAGATGGGGAAAGGGAGAAAGGGATGGCATAAATGAGAAGAATCACCACCATCACCATTGTCATTGTCATCTTCACTGGTACCAGCTAGCAACCACGGGGAAAGCTTGCCTGGCCCCCTTCTCTCGGGAACCACATTACAGTTCCACTCTGTGCCCTTCTCCTTCAGAGGGCTTCTCACTCTTACATCTATCCTCATGTCTGTACCAATGCCCACGGTGCTGTCCAGACCCTTCACTGTCTCAGCTATGCCCATGCGACCATGCCTCTGGCTGTCGAGACCTCTGTGAGAGGCGGTGTGCACACTTTTGCTTTGCATGAGATGATGCAGCCTTCTGTAGTTTGACCCAAGAAATTGAACCATAAATGTGCATGCCCTTTGACCTGGCATTTCACCTCAGGTGGCATAAATGCCTTTGCCGGGAGAAGACTCTCTGATAAACGCTCCTGGGAACATGGGTGAGGGTATGCACGCGGCAAAGGCGGGAGCGAGGCCCCGGGCTAGCTGTGGGTTAGGCACACGTGAAGGCAGGTCTCTCTCAGAGCCTGTCTTTCACTTTAGAGTTCGTACCTTTGCTCAGAATTCATAAGAGAGGCAGACTTTGCCGAGAAGCACTTCCTTCCTGGGGAGCTCACAGAGCCTTCTCATCATGCTGCCGGTGGGCCAGCTATGCAGGTACCAATCCGCGAAAGTCCTTCAGATCCAAAGCATATGGGTCGGGACTCTGAAGAATGCCTTTCTAGGGGCCATCTGCATCTACATTTGGTGAGTCAGGCGAGAGCCATTCTCAGGGCTCTGTGACCCCAACCTCCCTCTCTATCTCTACGCAGCCCCTCCATTCCCTCCCCTTTGGCCACACTGGCCTGCAAGGGTCTCTGGGTTGCCTTAGCTCTCCTGCTGCAGGTCTCCTGTGCCGGCCAGGTTCTCCAGATCTTCCTTCCACTGTCTCATCTCTATCAGGCTCAGCTACACACCTGGCTCCTTAGTGCTGTGCTGGTTCCAGGGTCTGGTGGGTTGTGTGCACCTGGATGCGTAAAACATCAGTTTCTTCTTCTTCTTCTTCTTCTTCTTTTTTTTTTTTTTGTTTTGTTTTGTTTTTCAAGACAGGGCTTCTCTGTGGCTTTTGGAGTCTGTCCTGGAACTCACTCTGTTGACCAGGCTGGTCTCAAACTCACAGAGATCCACCTGCCTCTGTCTCCCCAGTGCCCTCGGCCACCAATGCCCGGCCTAAACACTAGTTTCCTAGAGCTAAGAGTCACCGGGATTAGAGATTAGAGAATTGTAACTGAACCCACAGCCTAGAGAGGAAGGCTGGCTTCTCTTGAGTCATCACAGGAGGTCAAAAGTTTGTGACTGGATTGATCATTAGACTATTCTTTCTAAAGTGCAAGATACTTCAAATTCTCTTTGCCTCTTTTCTCCTTTGATGTGTCTCTAGGATGTGTTAACAGAATTCTCATGTTCACTGGGCGGTGGTGGTGGGGCACACATCTTTAATACCAGCACTGGGGAGGCAGACCCAGGCAGGTCTCTGTGAGTTTGAGGCCTGCCTGGTCTACAGAGTGAGTTCCAGGACAGCCAAAGCCATACAGAGAACCCTGTCTCAAAGAAAAACAAAAACAAAAAAGGAAGGAAGGAAGGAAGAAAGGAAGAAAAAGAATTTTCATGATCATTATGATACAGAGCTCCATTATGTTCACAAAGCCTGTGTGATTTTAACAGGATTGGGTTTTATTAAAGATGACCATGTGTTGAATAGTCTAGAGTGGATATGACACCTCAGGCTGAGCTTCCCAACCGGTAGAGCACGTGTTGTTCTGAGAGGATATTGCAATGGATAACTTGAAAGAACATTGCAAGTATTTTTGTATGTGTTTTGAGGCTGAAGCGAGACTGGACACTCACAGATGTATTTGTCTACAGTGTTCTATTAGGGTCTCTATTATTCGTGTTGAGTGGGTCCTGAATGCGGATTTCTAGCACCAACACCTTTTTATTTTTTAACTGTCTACATTTTGTGTGCGTTTGCATGCTCGTGTGCCGTGGCGTGCATGTGAAGGTCAGAGAACAACTTCTGGAAGTGAGTTCTCTCCGTCCATCTTCATGTGGGTTCTGGGGATCAAATCCAGGTAAATCTTGTCAGCAAGTGCCTTAACGCAATTCCCTGAACCGTCTCACTGGGCCGATTTCTTTCTTCTTTAATCATGGCTGGAGAAACACTAAAATGTACTATGAATAATGTCACACTTATGTGCTACTGTGCAGCTTAAGAAACAGCTTTGCTCCCTGTAAACACATCCTCTGTCCCAGTGTCTTTCCCTGGTAAACATCAGCCTGAATTTGATGTTTGTTCCTTTGTCTTGGTATTTCTATAGACATATGTCTGTATCTATAAAAATGTGTTTACTTTTTTTTCTTTAAAACAGGGTTTCTCTGTGTATCCCTGGCTGTCCTGGAACTCACTCTGTAGACCAGGCTGACCTCAGACTCGCTGAGATTCACCTGCCTCTGCCTTCTGAGTGTTGGGATTAAAGGCATGTGTGATTTTTATCTTACCCATCCAGGTAAAATTCATACAGCATAAAACTGACCACTTAAAGAGAGGGGGACATAAAGGAGGACTTTAAAGTGCACATACAGGTGTCATTTCACATGTGCTTTGTATTATATAGTAAATGCCTTTATCTACCGATATATTTTGTCGTCTTAGAAGGAAATAATGTACTCATTAGCTGTCACTCCCCATTTCTCTCCTGCAACCATCCATCTTTTACCCCGAAAGATTTATCTATTCTGTATATTTCTGATAAATGAAATGACCTACTGGGCGTGGTGGTGCATGCCTTTAATGCCAGCATTCGAGAGGCCAAGGCAAGAAGACCTCTGTGAATTCAAAGGCCATCCTGGTCTACACCAGGACAACCAGGTCTCTCTCTCTCTCTTTCTCTCTCTCTCTCTCTCTCTCTCTCTCTCTCTCTCTCTCTCTCTCTGTGTATGTATATATATATATATTCATATATGTATGAACGGGACTGAACTGAAATTCTGTCTATAGTAGGTAATACTAAGGGGGGGTGGTAGGTACAACTGCTGCCCCGGTTTGCAGAGAGGGAGAATCACAAGGAAGCGGGTCACTGGGCATAAGCAGGCTGTGAACAGAAACTGCTCTGACCACACCCCTCCCCCAGAGTTTGCAGTCCAAACCACAGCCTTGTGTAAAAATCACTGGTGTTTTTCCATCTGCCCTCAGCTTTGCTTTGGTGAGTGACAAGCTGTATCAGCGGAAGGAGCCTGTTATCAGCTCAGTGCATACCAAGGTCAAAGGGATCGCAGAGGTGACAGAGAATGTCGTGGAGGGTGGGGTGATGAAGCCACTGCACAGCGTCTTTGACACTGCGGACTACACCTTCCCTTTGCAGGTGAGCACCAGGCAGCCGACTCCAGGACCCATCCCTGGTCGCTGCCTTTCCCAATCCTTAGGAGTCTAAGCCTCATTTCAAAAACAGTTGTCTTGGGACTAGGGAATCTAGCTCAGCTGGCAGAATGCTTGGCTAGCAAGCATGAAACCCTGAATTCAATCTCTAGCGCCCATAAAACCAGTGGTAGTGTAGCCTGTAGCCCCAGGAGGTTAAGATGGAGAATCGGGAGTTCAAGGTCACCCTTAGCTGCATAGCGAGTTTAAGGCCAGCCTGGAATACATAAGACCTTGCCTCAACAGAAAAAGAAAAACGTTGTCCCTATTTAAAACCTGCGAAAATCCCAACTGAGAAAACCTAAAAATTGCAAAACTGGGTCACATCCAGCAGCTCAAAGAAGATACGTCTTCGCTTTACCCAGTCCTACTGGGCTGCTCGAAATAGCAGCGCATCCTGGCGCATTCCAAATGTGATCTGCTCACTGGCGGTGGGTACACAAGTGGCTTTAGAAGCAAGGCCACCGCGTGGCAAGCCCCAGTCAGGGTTCACAAGGGCCGAGAGCTTGTCTTCTGCGTGGCTTGTGTGATCTTTTACCTTTGAAAAGGTCCCCAGGAGATGGTTCTTGAGTCGTTCTAAAGAAAGGATGTGGTGACAAAGAGATAAAAGGTGTAGGTCACAGAGAACTGCGTGGCTAGCTGAGTCTGCAAAGCAGCTAACCAAAAAAGGAGAAATGAGAGAGGGGCCAAGGGGTGAGGAACAGATGGGGTGGGAGGAACAAAGGAGCCCATTTTCAACCCTGGGGAGCCAGAGCGCTTGGCAAAACCATCAGGCCCAAGCTGCTATTTGTTTCTAACTACAAACCATAAAAGCCACTGATTGCCCAGGTAGTGGGAAGCCCCCTGCCTTCCATTAAGCCCTGAGAAATCTGAACAGCTTGCCCAGAGTGCAGCCCACATCCACCTCCACTTCCCCAGCTCCTCAGAGTCTCAATGTCAGAAAACTGACACAGCTGCTTTTGAGCCTGGCTGGGAAAATGCCTGCTTCCCACATTCACAAGCTCCTCTGCTCCCCCTTGCCTGCTGAGACAGTTCCTGCAGCTCTGATGTTAAAAACCCTTGGCAAAGTCCATGCTGCCCACGCTGATTTCTAGAGGCCTGGAAGAGCACAAAAGCTCGCCCCCGGCACTCAGCCAAACATAGGATGCTTAAGAGCTCTGCCCCCCAAGGCCTTGCCTTTGCTCTTCCATTTCTCTCTGCAGGGGAACTCGTTCTTCGTAATGACCAATTTTCTCAAGTCAGAAGGCCAAGAACAGAAGCTATGTCCCGAGGTAAGCAGGGGGCCCTCTCAGAGAGGTGAAGGGGGAGATGCATTCTGGGAAGGAGCTCTTTGTCTGCCCGCCTCAGTCTAGGGGCCATCTGTACACCCGTTCTTGCCTTCACGGGCTCTCTGTGCAGCTCACAATATGATTCCTGGCATGTGATTTATTTCCCATTTCAGTGGAGCCTCCCAAATTCAGGAGGATAACTCCTAGACCCTTTTTACACAAGAAAACACTGAAGACATGTCATGATACACTGGAAGCCTTCAGAAAACGTGCTGCTCATAGAACCAAAATGACCACCCAGAACAGATGAAACCCAAGGCCTCCATGGGTACCACTGCCTGGAAGGCACCACAGGACTCTGGGGAGGGGAGTTTAGCCTACACTGCAGCCTGGCTTGGGCCATTCCACCTGGACATATGCCTCCTCTTTACATGGCAATACCCACGCCATCTCTGGTCATTTCAGTAGACGTGGCCACGCCCCAGTGTACACATGAATACGTGTGGATTATTCCAGCTATTCAAACACCTATGCACCCCAAGAGCTGCACACAGCTTGGGTTAGTCTCACGGTCCGAGGTGAGCTGAGCTCAGCTGGGCAGCTCTCTGTTGGTTTGGCTTTGTCTCTCACAGAGCCGGGGTTGCAAAACGGCTGCTGTTAGCACCATTTGGAGGCACCTCATCACTTCCAGGGGCTCTCAGGAGTTTTTCTTTTCTCGGGGTCTTCCCACATTCTTCCTCCAGAAGAGTAGCCACATTTCCAAACTGCAGTTCAGGGACCCCAGAGTCAAGGAGGCAGAAGAAGGTGTGCAAGCCTGGGGCTGGCCTCATGTTAGTTCTGTGATCACACACAGGCCCAGCTCCAAAGGCAGAGAGATGCTTTTTCTACAGGCCAGGAGAGTGATCAAGAGCTTCTCCAACAATCACAAAACAAATGTTAGAGTGTCTTTTACAGACAAAAAATAGAATTGGTTTATCTTCTTTCCTGGGAGTTCCTTATAGTTGATAATGAAAATCACAACCACTCAAGAGCCATAGTACATACTCATTCATTCATTCATTCATTTATTCATACTATGATGATCAAGACCTGTTACGAGTCAGGTGGGTAGTTAGGCTATAGAGATGTGACTGAGGCTTTGCAATTAAAAGATTCATAGTTGAGCCGGGCAGTAGTGTCACACGCCTTTAATCCCAGCACTCAGGAGGCAGAGGCAGATGGGCTTCTGTGAGTTCAAGGTCAGCCTGGTCTATGGATAGAGTTACAGGATGGTGAGGGCTACATAGAGAAACCCTATCTCAAAAAAAAACAAAACCCAAACCAAAACAACAACAACAAAAAAACAAATTTCCAGACGGCAAGGAGCAGAGGCTTCTGTACACCTGTGTTTGTTCTGTCTGTCTTTCCTGAGACTGGCTGTTCGTCCTGCTGCACAAAGTCAAACACAACCAAGCCTTTTCTCCTGCCTTATTCTGACCTTCAGCCCCAGACACAGCTGGCCCATGTTCCCCAGCCAGGGGTGTGCTAGCAGTGTCCTTTCTTCCCACGAGGCCTGCTGCACCTTGGTACCTGTCAGCTTCCCCATCCTGTGTGGCAGGGCCACCACAGCCTCAACCTTGCCATCCGCTCGCTACACCAATCCCTGAAAGTGCCTCCTGGCTGCTTACATTTTTATGTATTTTTGCTTCTGAGATGTCATTCATCCATTCTAAGACCTATGACCTCTGAGTATACAGTTCGGTGATTTTTTTTCAACATCATGCAATCCATCACCATAATTACCTAATTCCAGGAAAGTTTCTATTGCCCCCAAGGAAACTTTGACTCCCAAAACAAATCCTCCCCATTAGTGACCAATCTGTCCCTCCTCCCTACAGCCACTGACAGCCAGCCTGCTCTTCTCTGTGGATTTCCTTATTCAGGACATTTCCTATACATACAGCCACACAGGACGTGGCCTCTTGTGTCCGACCCCTTTCACACTGAATCATGTTTTGAAGTCATCCACATGTAGCATGTGTCAGGACCTGGCTGAACAAGACTCTACATATGGGGGCTGAAAAATGAGTTAGTCATTAAGATGCTTCCATTCATGCATGAGGATCCAAGTTTGATCCCTGGCATCCACATAAAGAGCAGGGTGTAGCTGTGCTCACTTGTGATCCTAGTTCTGGGGAGGCAGGCAGGGGTGTTCCTGGGGATTGATGGTGGGCCAGCCAGCCCAGCCAAACGGTGGGAGACCTTGTCTCAAAAAAATAAGGCAGAGAGTGATAGAAAAGGATGCCTGACATTGACCTCTGGCTTACACACACACACACACACACACACACACACACACACACACACACACACACGCACGCACGCACGCACGCACGCTCTGGTGAGCAGGGGTTTGTGGTATCTTGGTGATTCAATGCTCACTCTCTGTTCTGCCCTTCCTCCTGCAGTTTCCCGCCGGCCGCTCTGCACTCTGTAAATCTGACAGGGACTGTAAAGAGGGATGGATGGACGCACAAAGCAAAGGTGCTTCTCTGTCCTTTGAAATGCTGAGGGGGACGAACCAGCGACTTTGTGACATTCATGAGCTTCAGTTTCCAGCCAAGTCCTTAGCCTCTGGCTTTCGGTTGCCTTTCCCTCCACCAAATCACAGGTCAGGCCGTGCCTGTTCCTGATTTGTCCCCAACAGACCAGCTGAAACCTGTGCGAATGACTCCAATGCCCCGGGAGAGATGTGGGGTCAGGGTCTAATTGTTGGAGAACTTCCCCTAAGGCAGGGAGCTTGAGCCTCCAAGGACCTGGAAGCTTAACTTTTTAATTTTACTTTTCCTTCCTTCCTTCTTTCCTTCCTTCCCTCCTTCCTTCCTTCCCTCACTCTTGCTTTCTTTTCTTTTCTTTCTCGATACTGGAGATCGAACCCAGGGCTTCTTGAAGACTGGGTAAGCACTCAACCACTGAGCTACAGCCCCAGCCTTGCAAAAAGACATGGCCTCGTGCTTTAACTTTAAAAGGCATAAGACTCTGATATGGTAGTGCAGGTCTTTAATCCCAGCAGAGGTAGAGGCAGGTGGGTCTCGAGGCCAGTCTTGTCTACATAGCAAGTTCCAGGCCAGCCAGAACAAGGAAGTAAGAGCCACCAGTGGATACAATGTACACACTCGTAGGAAAGCACCCGAAGTGTTGCATTTCATTCCATAACATGTATATGTGAGTTGCCATGGAGATCACTGTAAGGTGGCTTGTCCTTTATCAGTTCTCTTCCTTCCTGACACTTCAGAAAGATGCCCCCAAGTCCCTCATGTGGCTTCACACATCCCCAGATGAGCTGTGTACTCCTGGAGACACCCAGATGCCACACGAGAAGCCACACTTTCGTCCACAAAGAGTACACATTGTATACAGAACTCTCCGCTAAGGCATTGCTCCCTGAAAGAAACAAAAACAAAGGGCAGGCAGACCCCAGCATCTCCCTGCGCTATCTCTGGGCCTTTCTAGGGATGTACTGGCAAGTGCTCTGTTTGGCTTGGAGTGCATAGGTGTGGAGGGTGGGGTTAAATGGGGGAAGGAGCTGCTTGGTCTAAGAGTGTAGTGTCTCTGTGTGGGCTGAGTTCATGGTGCCCCCTAGAGATATTCCTTGTCTGGCACATTCACATCTGTGGTTCTTCAACCCCTTAAAACTTGTAGGACTCCAGACTGGCAAGTGTATACAATATGATAAGAACAGGAAGACCTGTGAAGTCTTTGCCTGGTGTCCCGCTGAGGAGGGGAAAGAGGCCCCCCGGTGAGTTACATGATGGGAGGCACAAACAGTGGCCTTGGCTGCATAGCCCTGTCTTGGAGACCTCTATGTCATCTCTGGGAAGGCCATGCCAGCTCTTAACATGTTATAGTAGTCCGGAACCAGCTGGTATGCAGCTGTGACCTGGAACACCCTTAGGTGTCCCTGTCTATCATGGCTGCTCTGGAAACCCTCCCAAGAGGTACAGCAGGGTTTTCTCTGAGCCATTCATGCTCATATTTAATGACAAAGATTATGAAGAAGCAGAGCTGGGGAGGCAGCTCAGTGAGTAAAGTGCCTGCCCAGCAAGCCTGAGGTCCTGAGTTTGAATCCCATGCACCGACATAAAAGTCAGGCGCAAGCAGCAGACACAGTAGTCCCAGCTGAGAAGGCAGAGTCAGGGGCTGCTGGCCAACTAGTCTAGTCAAATAGGTTCAGTGAGAGACACTTGGAGAGTACTACCAACTGCTAGCCTACACACACACACACACACACACACACACACACACACACACACACACACACAGAGAGAGAGAGAGAGAGAGAGAGAGAGAGAGAGAGAGAGAGCTCCTAGAAGTATAGTGGTTCTAGAACATCTCTGTTCAATAGGACTTCCTTCAGTAATGGGAATGTTTGGTGTCCAATATGGCAGCCACCAGCTACCTGTGCACACATAAAATAAGGAATGTAATTTTAATTGAAAATACAAAAATACACTTGTAGTGCACACCTTTAATCCCAGCACTCGGGAGGCAAAATCAGGCAGGGTTTCTATGAGTTTGAGTGGCTGAGGCTACAGAGTGAGTTCCAGAATAGCCAGGGCTACACAGAGAAATCCTGTCTTGAAAAAAAAATTTAAAAATTTTATATGATACTTGTTTACATTTGTATTTGTTTGCTTGCTTGCTTATGTGCTATAACATACATCTGAACCTCAGAGCACAACTTGCAGAAACTGGTTCTTTCTTTCCACCGTGTGGGTGGGTCCCAGGGAGTGAACTCAAGCCATTAGGCTTAGTGGCAAGCGCCCTTACCACTGAGCCGCCTCACTGGCCCTGCTTTCATCTCAATACACAGTTATGCTCTGTAAGGCTTCCCAGACCAAGCAAGACTCAGGACCACTCTGTATGTGGGACAAAGAGAAGGCTGCCCAAGCTGACACGTATATGGCTCAGGCCAAGGTCCATGCCGCCATCCTGTGTCGGGGTGCAGGCAGTAGGTAGTACCGCCCTTTCTGGCCTTTGACTGTCAGCCCAGTTTCGTTTCTAGGTCAGGGAAGTTTCTGCGTGCAGAAGGTACCGTGCTGTGTGGGGACGGCAGCCTACACGGCGGGACTGCTTGGGGCCACACAGAGGACTCTGGCTGTCAGTCTCAGCTCTGTCACCAACTCATTCACCACATGAACACTGAGTGTGCGTCTCCACATGCCTGTCCCAGAGCCCTTTCATCCTTTCTGTTGTTGCTACCGCCACTCTCTTTGAGACAGGGTCTTACTATGCAACCCTGGCTGTCCTGGAGCTCACTCTGTAGACCAGGCTGTCCTGGAACTCACAGAGATCCGCCTGCCTCTGCCTCCGAGTGCTGGGATTAAAGACATGCGCCACCACTGCTCCCGCATTTGTTTTTGTTTTTTAACCTTCAGCCAGTCCCCATTTTTCATAGATTTTCAACCGCTGATGGTTTGTGGATCACTTTATCCCAGGGCTCTGCTCCATGACCAGTTCCATAATTATTTGTTGATGAATGGTTGGCTGGCTGGAGGGTAGGTGACCTTCCTGTGGCCTGGAATTTTGATTCCTCTAACTCAGTGTAGAACTAAATGCTACTCAGAGCCTCTGGTGAATGAATAAATGAATGAATGAATGAATGATATAGATAACTGTGTGTGGTCCTGTGATAAGGACTGGGCATACCAAAATAAAATTATCACTCAGCCTTGCAGGGACCTCAAGCCTATCCCGGAAGTCTCAACCATGGGTGCTCAGGAGCTGACCGACACGGCCTCAAAGCCGATTACGTTTATTCTGTCTCAGTTTCAAGTTTATGGGTGGATGGGGCTTGACACCAGCCATCGTGGGAGCATTTAGGGCATGGTAATCAGCAAGTGCTACGTGTGAGGCTCCTTCTTCTCTCCCTTGGAGAGCCAGTTGCCAGCTGTTAGCACACCACCACATAACAGCCAAACATCCAATTGTTTCAGTGTTGGGAGTGACATGGTAATTGCCATGAGGTTCTCAAGGAGGGAGAAGGCTTCTGGGGGAAGAAGCTACAGGCCTTATGGAGAACTTTGCAAAGTTGCTGTACTCAATTCTCTTCACTCAAAAGCACAAAACCATAATCCTCTGGTCCCAGGGACTCTTTATCCCTGAGGTCACCAATCCTTGTTCTTCTCTCCCAGGCCTGCACTCCTGAGGAGCGCTGAAAACTTCACCGTGCTCATCAAGAACAATGTTCACTTCCCCGGCCACAACTATACGACGTAAGCATCTCAGATGCCTGGCTGTATGTATCAGCTTGTATGCAGCAGTTATCTAGGCTGTGGAACAAAAGATCCCAAACCTAGGGAGTGTAAAAATTGCAAGAGCTGTTCTCTCTCTCATCTGTGGATCAACTCTGGAAATGTCTTTGCTGGGTGGTTCTGGTTTATTGTCTTTCCAGAGCTGTCAGTCAGAGCTTCTGTTAGCTCTAGGTTTGATTAGAACTGAGTACTTTTCCAGCCTTACCCATGTGACTGAGGCTAAGTTCCTCTCCATGCTCATCTCACCCAAGGACCATTTGAGTATCCATAGGACGTGGTGGCTGCTTCACCAGAGCAAGCCATCTGCATAGCAGATGGGCAAGGGAAACTGAGATGGAAGCCACTGTCTTTGGGAGTGATACCTAACTAATTCTGCAATATGCTGCTGGTCACAAAGATTGTTTTGGCACAATGTAAGAGGACAATCTACTAGGGTCCCCAGGAGACAAGACACACAGCTCACATCAATGGATCTGTTGGTAGTAGATCCATGTCAAGTTCAATCATGTCCCAATGGGAGCTTGACACAGCAGTGGTGGAGGCATTTACACCATGGTAATTGGCAAGTACTACTTGGCAGGAGTTGGTTTTTCCTTTAGAGAAATGGTTGGTAAAAACATCTGTTTGTTTGCAATTCTGCACAGGAGAAACATCTTGCCAGATCTGAACATCTCTTGTACCTTTCATAAGACTCAGAACCCTCAGTGTCCCATTTTCCGACTAGGGGACATCTTCCAAGAAGCTGGGGAGAGCTTTTCAGAGGTGGCAGTTCAGGTTGGTGGAGTTTCTGTATGTGTGTCAGGGAGTGGAGGTTGTCAAATGTCAAGCAGCAGTGTCTGATGGTTGAGGCTCACATTTATTTGTACCTGGTAAACCGTGCCCAGTGCCAGGGAATCCCACATCCTGAGTGAGTTCCTTGGTTCATTTCTCCTGTGGTTACAGTAAATACATTTTCTTCTGTGCCTGGAGCAGAAGTCCAGAACTGAGGTGAGCTCAGGTGTGAATGGCAGTGTGCCCCCTCTGCAGGCTCCGGGGAGAATGCATCTGTGCATTTCTCCCTTCCCCGGCGTGCTCCTTGTATTGATTGTATTTGTATTTATCTAGTGGTTGGCAGCCCCTTCCTCTATCTTTTTTTTTTAATTTTTTTTAAATACAGGGATTCTCTTTAAAGCTCTGGCTGTCTTCAAACTCATTCTGTAGACAAGGCTCGCCTGGAACTCACAGAGATCCACCTGCCTCTGCCTATCGAGTGCAGGGATTAAGGGCGTGCACCACCACCACCACTACCGGGTTGCACTGAAACCTTTTTTTTTTTTTTTTTTTTTTTTTTTTTGGTTTTTCGAGACAGGGTTTCTCTGTGGCTCTGGAGGCTGTCCTGGAACTCCCTCGGTAGATCAGGCTGGTCTCGAACTCACAGTGATCCGCCTGCCTCTGCCTCCCGAGTGCTGGGATTAAAGGCGTGTGCCACCACAGCCCGGCTCACTGAAACCTTTTAATAAGTATTTTCTCCCACAGAGAGAAAACCTTCCCCGAAATTATATTTCTGAGTGGGGACAGTGTTTGATGGTCGCATAACCCACACCCAATACTTAGTGACTTTCTTGTTGACTGTCCCCCAAGGGAGGAATCATGGGCATTGAGATCTACTGGGACTGCAACTTGGACAGCTGGTCCCATCACTGTCAGCCCAAATACAGCTTCCGCCGCCTGGATGACAAGTATACCAATGAGTCCTTGATCCCGGGCTACAACTTCAGGTAACAGTATCGAATGTGCCAATGGGCAGAAACAGCAAACAAAAAAGATGAGGTTGCTACTTACTTCATGGTTGAATAAAACATTATAGCTCATCAACATGACTGGTCATTAGGGAAATGCAAATTAAAACCACAATAAGATAAAATTGTAGGGCCAAGGAGATGGCTCCGGGGTAAGGGGGCTTGCTGCTAAGCACAGAGACCTGAATTTGACCCTTAGAACACATAATGGAAAGGACAGAACTGGCTCACAAATTGTCCTCTGACCTCCACATATAGGTCATTTGGGTGTTTGCACACACACACACACACACACACACACACACACACACACTGAGTAATTTTTTTTAAGTAGGCAAGACTCAACTATGATGAAAGAAGACAGAATATTGGGTTCTGAGTTGGGAAAAAGTTTACTGAGAAAATGGAATGGTCTGAGTTGAAGGAATTTTGATGAAAACACAAGATATTCATTTGTCAAAACCTATTACAAGGCTGGTGGTACTTATCTTTAATCCCAGCATACAGAAGCAGAGGCAGGTGGATCTCTATGAGTTTGAGGACAGCCTGGTCTACACAGTAAGTCCCAAGCTAGCCAGAGCTACTTACAGAAACCTCACCTCAAAACAAACAAACCAACCAACCAATGAACAGAACCCTTAAGACTTCTGCATTGTAAGACATTTAACCGGTATCTCGATAGAACAGACAAATCTAACTAGAGCATTTCTCATGATGGTAAAGTGCTCTGAAGAAAATCAAGCGTGATAACGAGATAGGAAGATGAGGCCAGGGAGCCCCTCCAAGCACGAGGTAGGGGCTCTGCAGGCATGCCTCCCTTTTCTAGTCAAGAGGGAGGACAGGAGCCTGGGCTCCGAGAAGAAACTCGAAACCTTTCACATCCACAGTCTAGACTAGCAACCCTCAAAATGCAGGGCTCAGCACCAGCATCACATGGTGACTCAAAGATGCACATTCCCAGGCCTGGCCTCACCTCCTGGCCTGTGATCCACATTTCCACGAGTCTCCGTGGGGCTCTGCTGTTCACTCTGAAGTGAACCCTGCTGATGCAGATGCCTGTCCTCAGAGCTCCATCCTGGAACCTGGGTCAAGGGCCTCACATGGGTACTGGCTTCAGTGCAGAGCATCACAGAGCCTCTCCCCCCACCGCCCCCCCAGACTTAGCAAATATCTGTACTGGAACAATTCTCCACTTATTTCTTTGTACCTGTAGAATGTTTTAAACCTTGTGATATTCTACACAAAGATCTGGGTTTCCTCTTTTTCCTGAGAAGAGTTTGTAAACTTTAAATAACACTGGGCCCATATCCCATATGACAGCATTGGTTGGAGCTGGGCATGGGCCCCTGTACAAAGAGCATGTGGCTTTTGTGTTGTCACTATCCTTGCCACTGCTTTGTGTCCTCCTATGTGACCCCCGCATCCTTTATGCCTGGCCCCTGAGGACATTCTGGAGTCAGCATTGAGCTGGTTGAGATTTTTTTTTGCCTCATCTGGGTCAGTGGAGTTTCATCTGGGCTCAGGAAAAGGCTCTTAGTTCAGGTAACTTTTTGATCACCCTTGCTGAGTAGGGCGAAATGCTTAAGAGGCTGTGGTCATTAGCAAGAAAGAGGGGACATGATGAATGGTCCCCTGCTGGTGCTGGGCATTTTTATTTAGCAGTAAGCCAAAGCATGCAGGGCAATGTACCAACCAAACATTGGCCAACCCCTTGTTCTCTGAGCTGAACCTAAGAACATCCGCTCCTGGTGGGATTGAGCTCTCTAGAGGCCTGAAGGGGTTATGACGTCAGTATTCTTTTAGAATAGAGTGTTAGCAAATTTGTTGTTGAATGAGCACCAGGAGAACTCTTTGGCCAAAAATAAATTGTGGAGATCTGATAGGCAAGAGAACAAGTTATTTTCAAACAGCGTCACAAAAGAGAAGGAAATTACAGGCTATATGAGGTATTTCGGAAAATATGGCTTTCTTTTTTACAGGAAGTTAAAAAGTTCACATTATGTAACTTTGTCCTCAAGAAAAAGATTTATGGGGGCTGGAGAGATGGCTCAGAGAGGCGCTTGCTGTGCAAGCGAGAGGACATGAGCTCGGCTCTCTGACATAAGTGGTGTGTGCCTTGAATCCCAGTGCTGGGACAGGAGGGTCCCTGGGGATTGCTGGCTGGACAGTCAGACAAACTGGTGAGACTATTCCCCATAAACTCCTTGCCCTCCATTGTGATCTACAGTGGCAAGAACCCGGGAGCAGAAATCCAAGTACTCACAAAATAATTTTCCCAGGCAAACAAACCACAAGCGTGGAGTGCTGATGCACCTGTCTTGCGTGTTAGAAAGTGGATCTTTTGACAAGGCAGGAAGGAGAGATCAGTCTCGGAAGGGAACAATCAGATTCAAGGCCATGTGATTCCCTCTGCTACAAACACCACTGAAGTACCTGAGACTGGCTGATGTGGGGTTTTTGTTTTTCTTGTTTGTTTGCTTGCTTGCTTAGTTTAGTATGGTTTTTCAAGACAGGGTTTCGCTGGCTGTCCTGGAACTCGCTCTGTAGACCAGGCTGGCCTCAAACTCACAGAGATCCGCCTGCCTCTGCCTCCTGAGTGCTGGGATTAAAGTGTGCCGCCACCATGCCTGGCTTCAGCCTCAGGTTTTGAGGGTTTTTCACAGAAAGGATCCATTGATATTCTGGCAGAGCATCTGTCTTCCGTTTTCTTCTCTCCCTACACCTGGAAAGAGGTCGCCGCCAACTTAGAGAGAAAATGCGTGCTTCTATGTAAGAACAACCCGAAAAGGTTGAGAGGCCCATGCCAGAGCCTTAGGAGGCCTGTAGTTTTGTTGAGAGGCCCATGCCAGAGCCTTAGGAGGCCTGTAGTTTTGTTGAGAGGCCCATGCCAGAGCCTTAGGAGGCCTGTAGTTTTGTTGAGAGGCCCATGCCAGAGCCTTAGGAGGCCTGTAGTTTTGTTGAGAGGCTCATGCCAGAGCCTTAGGAGGCCTGTAGTTTTGTTGTGTTGCGATGGACAGTACTGCTTTGTTACAGTTTTCTTTTTCTCTATTGAGGTCTCACTATAGTCCAAGCTAGCCTTGAGTTCACTGCAGCCCAGGCTGTCCTTAAATTCAAAGCAATCCTCCTGTCTCAGCCTTCCAAGTGCCAAGATAACAGGTATGTACCACCACATCCTGCTAAACATTGTGGTAGAAGTCTGCCTGATTGTTTGTGAAAAATAAAGTCACATATATGACTTTTGTACCTGTCTGGGGTGGCTGTGATTGAACAATAGCATGGAGAAGTCACTGTCACTGAACTTAAGCCAAAAGCCTACATATCCCAGAGGATGGGAGCAGGCCACCCTACCCAGGGTTGTAGGAGAAGCACTGGTTTGGTCAGGCTGGGATTGTGAGGGAAGGTGAGGAGGGCTGGGGAGAGGGCTGAGAGCTGCTGTCTTGAATGCTGTCATTAGTCACTGGGCTACAAGGACCTTCGTGAACTGTATGGCCTGGCCCTAGCTGTGTGCCTGAGAATAGAGAAATTCTGGCCTGATGTGAGAGTCAGATAGACAAAGTGGTGGCAGGGTATCCAGAAGTGGCCTGAAGTTTGCCTCACGAAAGATGAATTTCACTCTGCTGTCCACAGGTGACTGACCTTTGGTTTGACTCTGTGGCTAAAGGTTGGCAGAAAAATGAACACAGATTCTAAGAAAGCACAGGTATGACAGATCCTTGCGCTGTCCCCATAGACAACAGAGGGCTGAGACCCACGTTGTCCTCCTCTCCTGGTTTGTTCTAGAAGCCATGCCTATTAGCAGTTGGGAGACAGAGGCAGAAGGATCTCTGTGAGTTTGAAGCCAGCCTGGTCTACAAGAGTGAGTTCAAAGACAGCTAGGACTGCACAGAAAAACCCTGTCTTGAGAAACCAAAACAGAGGAAGAGTGAGATAAACATGTCTGACATGGTGGCATATACCTTTAATACCAGCAGCTGGAGGCAGGCAGATCTCTGAGTTTAAGGCCAGCTTGGTTTACATAGTGAGTTCCAGGAAGCCAGGACTACATAGAGAGAGCCTTGTCTAAACATAAAAAACAAGAAGAAAGGAAGGAGAAATAAACACATCGCCTGAAGTTACTTTTAAAATTTCTTTGCTTATTGTTGACCATATATTGCCTTAGATGTTGGATGTTTACATAGGAAACTAAAGCCAATTTTCTGTTACTCTATGATGCTGAAAGCAGGTGAGGTAACTTGGAGACACTCTCTGGCTCCAGTTGGTCAGAGAACAGCTAGAAGGGTGGACTGTAATCTTTCCTCTACCAGCTGTGGCAGGCATCAACAGCCGATGAGGAGAACTGGACCGGCTACTGGTTTGCTCTTTCTCCCCGTAAGATACCAGCACGCTCAGCGAGACTGTGGTAAACGTGGCTGCTTTTCTCCCACAGACACGCCAAGTACTATAAGGAAAACAACGTGGAGAAGCGGACACTGATCAAAGTCTTTGGGATCCGCTTCGACATCCTGGTTTTTGGCACCGTAAGTCTCTCCTCCCCATGACTGTCTAGCTACGGATGTAGCGAGGAGTGAACGCCAGCAGTCCTAATTAGTTGGCTCCGTGCAATTCACTTGTGGAATGAGAGGAGGAAGAAACGTATTTGGGTTTCTGCTGATGAGCAAACCATCTGAAAAACACGGAGGATGACTGAGGAAAAATACAAATATCCAAACTTTGCTTTGTTTCTGTGGCACAGCTTTTGCTACATAGCCAGCTGGCCTTGAATCCTCAATATTCCCGCCTCATCCTTCTAAGAGCTGGGACTACAGGTGTGCACCACTACACCCAGCGGAGGATTCTAGAGACTCAACAGCCAGCCAGATTCACTGAGGAACTTGTCTCAAAAGTAATCACACAGGTTGAGGAAAGATAATTTAAAATCAACCTCTTCTACATGTTTGCATGGGCAAGCACACCTGTATATATATACATGCACATATCACACACACACACACACACACACACACGCACGCACGCACGCACGCACACTAAATAAATAAATAGCATCTGACACTGAGCTGGTAGAATGTGCACCTATAAAGGATGAGAAGACCTAGCTTTGATCTCCAGCGTGTGACTGATGCCACACTGTAACAAAAGAATCAATGAAAAGCAAAGTTGGGTGTGGTGGTGCACACTTTTAACCCTAGCACTCTGAAGACAGAGGCAGGTGATGTCATGTGTTCAGGGGCAGCCTGGTCTACACACCAAGTTCCAGGCCAGTAAAGGCTACATAGTAAGACTCATAAAATATAACTGAGCAAATGGGAAGGACACTGAGAACAGACCTTTAAGAGACCAATAAGAATACAGATGGGTGTAGACATATCTGCTCCCCAAGTTATCCCACACTTTGGGAGACCTCATCTGAAACACCGCATCTTACAGGGAAAGCAGCCTGCAGAGGTCCTCCCCTTACTGACCACATCTCTCTAAAGTGTTCTGGATGGCAGAAAGGAGAAGCATAATATCTCATGGTCCCTGTGACAGTTGAGCACTGGGGTGTGTGCCTTGGTGCTGTCACCGGTTTCTGCACGTGCTAATCGCAGAGACTGCAAAGTTAGCAAGAAAAGGCACCACTCTGAGCTAGGCTGAGTAAAGCTTCTCGCTCTGTTGCAGGGAGGAAAGTTTGACATCATCCAGCTGGTTGTGTACATTGGATCCACACTGTCCTACTTTGGCTTGGTAAGAGAATCTCTTCCCTGTCTTTTAAGAAAATGATTCAGAGCCGGGCGGTGGTGGTGGCACACACTTTTAATCCCAGAAATCAGGAGGCAGAGGCAGGTGGATCTCTGTGAGCTCCAGGCCAGCCTGGTCTACAGAGTGAGTTCCAGGACAGCCAGGGCTGTTACACAGAGAAAACCTGTCTCGAAAAACCAAAAGAAAAGAAAAGGATTCAGGCTGGGTGGTGGTGGTGGAGGCACACACCTTTAACCCCAGCACTCAATAGGCAGAGGCAGGCAGATCTCTGTGAGCTCAGGCCAGCCTGGTGTACATGGTGAGACCCAGTCTTGAAAACACAATAGCAACAAAAACAGCAAAGAAAATGATTTGCCAGAAGTTTCACTGGCACCGTGTCTGCTTTTCCTCAGGCCACGGTATTCATTGACTTGATCATCAACACGTACTCGAGCTCCTTCTGCAGGTCCAGTGTTTACCCGCACTGTAAGTGCTGTGAAGTGTGTGCCGTCAACGAGTATTACTACGGGAAGAAGTGCGAGCTGGTCGTGGAGCCGAAGGCGGTAAGGCATGCCGCTCTGTCAGACCCCCATACACACACAGGTCGGGTGTGGGGTGCCTAAATCGTGCAGGGGGTGGGGGAATAGGCCATATCACAGTTTCATTCCCAAACAGCTGTCTCTCTAATGAGCCCTTTGATTTTGAGAAAGAAGAGAAGCAAAAATGGAGAAGCTAGGCATACAGGGAAGACAAATCTTTACATTCCAGTTTTTGTCATTTAGTAAGTTGGCGCGACTCCTTCCTGACCTCATACAGTACAATGGCTTCAGAGGACAATCATTTGGCAGTGACTAATAATGTTTAAGTGAGAATGTTTTCTATCCTGGTTTTTCCATTTCTCCATACTTTTCTAGAGAAACCTTTATACAAGATGTACATGGTATATGCATCTAGGATGGTCACTAAGTTTTATTAAACTATTAATAATGCTTGTTAAATTACTAATAACCGGGTTGGTGGGGGCATGGGAGGATGGGAGGGAGAGGGAACTGGGACTGATATGTGAAATAAGATTGTTTCTAAATTAATAAACAAAAATACTAATAACCAAGGAATAGTTTAGTAATAGAACATTTGCTCAGCATGTGTGAAGCCTGGGTTCAATACCCAATATTGCAAAAATGAATGGATAAATAACAGGAAGAAACAACATCTACCCAAATGTCCACTGGGTGAATGGTGACTAGTAATATAAACAATATTAGTTATCAATGGTGAGATAAATGCCATGATAAATCCATAGTAAAGAATTCTAGTGATCACTCAGGTAACTATTATTAGCAAGAAAAAATAAAGCCTTTTGCTGCTTCAACACACACACACACACACACACACACACACCACTCACTAGAAAGAATGACGTAATCCCATTGCATGGGAAGCTAAGGCAAGGAGGATGTGAGTTCCAGGTCAACCTGGAGACAACATCAAACATACTTGGAAAGTTTCATGTGGAGCTTATGTCTCTAAAGCACTGGAGATGCTCAGGCAGGTGAATGTCCGGAGTGAGAAACGGAGATGGGTGAGGAGGAGACACTGCGATTAAACACTACTTGTCCAAAGTCACACAGAAAGTGACCGGGAGAGCTGAGGTTCCACCTGAGGCTGGTCAGCTGGCCTCGGAGTCTGTTACAGCCACTTGGGTGCAGGTAATAACATGAGCGAATTTCCAAGATGTTTTGTTGAGAGGAGAAAAGTAAATAGAAGAATCATACGCCACAGTTTATAGGTTAAAAAGACAACTGCACACACAACCTACTTCTATACATTCTCCATGTGTACATTTCACATATATGCAGGTTTACATGCATACGTGTGTCCTGGGCCCACAGGAGAGTGCTGGCAGCAGGGGAGTGGAGGTTCCTGGCAGAGCCTAAGGTAGGGTGTAGGCACACCTCTACTGTTCTGATTTTATTTGGCTGCATTTGGTGAGGCAGCTCCACTCAGCTCACTTGCCTGCCCCCACAGAGAAACTGCTGGCTCCTTGAGAAAATAGAGGGTTCCTTTGTCTTCCCAGGGATCTTCACTGTCCTTTTCCAGCAGCCAAATGCACAGTGTGTTGTTCACTGTCTGTTGTCCTTGTGCCCATGGTGGAAGTAAAAGTCCAACAAGCTTCGTTTGGTGGCATTGGCCTGCAATCCCAGCAGTAGGGAGACTGAGGCAGGAGGATGGTGAGTTTGAGGCTAGTTCAGATTGGAGAGTAAGACCCTGCCTCAAAACAGAAAATAAGGAGGGAAAAAGAGAGGTGGGAGATAGGAGGGGAAGGAAGGAAGGAAGGAAAGAAAGAAGAGAGAAGAGGAAGGAAGGGAGGGAGAGAGGGAGGAAGGGAAGGAGGGAGGGAGAAGATTAGTTCACCTTTGTAACTAAAACTCAACATAGCCTGCCCAGATGAGTGAAATTTAACATATAAACTATTTAAGGACAACACCATAGCCCTGCAGAGACTGCATCCTCAGACACTGAACTCAGGCACCGCAGCACAGACCATTACGGTGTGCCGGGGCCTCGCTGGCCTGTGGCGTGTGGGGTTCCGTGCCTAACTTCCCTTTAGGTCTTCGCTAACATGCTTTGTCACAGGGTAAATATGATTAGCGGATGAGCTCACATATGTCTGAGCAGGCGATTCCTGTAACTCCTGTACAGAAGCAGACCTTGCTCCTTCTTTTCCTAGACGTTAAAGTATGTGTCCTTTGTGGATGAGCCCCACATTCGGATGGTGGACCAGCAGCTGCTCGGGAAGAGTCTGCAAGTTGTCAAAGGCCAAGAAGTTCCAGTAAGTGAAAACACTTAGTCTTTTTTTAGGAGATTTTGCTCTTAAATATAAACACTTGTAGATATTTATATAAATCACAGTTGATGAATTTTAGCAAAGTAAACATACTCGTGGAACCAGCACCCAGACTGAAAAATTAGGTGTTTGGGGGCTGATAAGATGGTTCAGGGGGTAAAGGCAGTGCTGCCAGGGCTGATGGCCTGAGTTGGATCCCTGGGACCCACATGGGGGAGGAAAGGACCAATCCCAGAAAGTTAGCCTCTGGTACATGTGTGCGCACATGCGTGTGCATGCACACACACACACATCCAACAAAATGATTTAAAATGAGATGTTTTGGGCTATGGATATAGCTCATAGTAGAGTTTTGGGTTTTGATTTTTTGAGAGAGGGTTTCTCTGTGCAGTCCTAGCTGTCCTAGAACTCACAGAGATCCTCTTGCCTCTGCCTCCTGGATGTTGGGATTTAATAGAGTATTTATCCAGAGGAGAGACAGAGAAGAGACTGAACATCCCAAAAATCCCTTTTATGCCTCCCCTGAGTCGCCACCTTTCCTTAAAAAAACGGTCCTCACTCTGTGTCTAAGGGTGAGGTCCATACCCTGCATCTGAGGGTTAGGTTTTAGGTTTTTGTTGTTGTTCTTTTGAGACAAGGTCTCACTCTGCATCCTTGAATGGATTGGAACCCCAGTGTAGGCCAAGTCGGCCTGGAAAACTCATAGAGATATGAGTTCTGCCTCTGAATCCTGAGGGCTGGGATTAAAGGTGTGTACTACCACACCCAACTTAAGGATTAGTTTTAATAATTCTAGTATTTTGTAGAAGTTGAACTGTACAAGCTGGGTACAACTGTCTACACCTGTAGCTTCAGCACTTGAGAGGTTGAGGCAGGGAGATCACTTGGACACAGAAGTTCAGACCAGGCTGGGAAACCCAATGAGACCCTATTGCAAAAGAAAATTGAGTTGTACAATAAAGTCTCCGGCACACTCTGTTGAAAGTCTGACGCCTGTCACTCACTATTTTAGTGAGGTATCTGACATGGCATATGGTGACAATTCATTCTCATTTTTGTATAATCTCTGCTTTGTGAACATTCAGTTTATTTACCCATTTCAGCATGGAAGCTCATTTGGGAAGTTTCTAGTATGGGGGCAAATGTCAATCATACCATGATGGCAAACATATGGCATTTTGTCTGGTGTTCCCCCACAGTTCTGGTCGTTGGGCACCTTTGCCAGATCTATTGATTTCCTGTGTCCATACTAGGTGGCTTTAAAAGCTGGTTTGTGCTCCTGTCTGGAGGCAAAACTGCTGAGGTTCAGGTCTTAGCAGGGCACTGGTCCCCTTGGAGGCTGCAGGGAAGAATCCCCCACCGGTCCCAGCACTAGCTAGGCCCTGGCGGGCTTCTGCACCGCAGTGAGAAGCGCACATCGTTTCCCATCTCAGCGGACAGTTTGTATAGTTCATTCCCTACCAGAGGTTTTTGGTTAGCTTTTAAGAATGTGGTATCAGATCAAGAAAATTCCCTTCTGTGCTTAGTTTGTGAGAATTTTTTTAAATCATGAATGGGAATGATCCTCAGCTTTCCAAGCTGCTGGAACTTATTGACTTACAAAGGCTAGGTAGTGTTGTTTTTACTTTTTTGGGGGCCACCATCCAGCTCTCAAACACACACACACACACACAGCACACACACACACACACAGAGAGAGAGAGAGAGAGAGAGAGAGAGAGAGAGAGAGAGAGAGAGAGAGAGAGAGAGAGAGAGAGAGAGAGAGAGAGAGAGAGAGAGAGAGAGAGAGAGAGAGAGAGAGAGAGAGAGAGAGAGAGAGAGAGAGAGAGAGAGAGAGAGAGAGAGAGAGAGAGAGAGAGAGAGAGAGAGAGAGAGAGAGAGAGAGAGAGAGAGAGATTCTTTCTTATGAATGCCTGGCCTCAGCTTGGCTTGTGTCTTGCCAGCTTTTCTTAACTTAAATTATTCCATCTATCTTTTGCCTCTGGACTTTTATCTTTATTCTATAGTTCTTTATTTGCTTCTTACTCTGGCTGGCTGTGTAGCTAGGTGGCCAGCGCCTGGAGTCTTCCTCTACTCTTTCTCTTGCTCCTAGATCTCCTTTTCCAGATTTCTCCTCCTATTTATCCTCTCTGCCTGCCAGCCCCACCTATCCTTTCTCCTGCCTTGCTATTGGCTGTTCAGCTCTTTATTAGACCAATCAGGTGTTTCAGGCAGCACAGTAACACAGCTTCACAGAGTTAAACAAATGCAACATAAAAGGATGCAGCACATCTTTGCATCATTAAACAAATGTTCCACAGTATAAACAAATGCAACACATGTTAAACTAATTTTCCACAACAGCTAGGTATGTGTGTAGACATGTGTGCATGTTTGTCCGTGTGAATGCATGTGTGTGCAAGTGTCTATGGACTCCAGAAGTTGATACTACTTGTGTTCCCCAGTCACTTCCTGTCATTATTGTTTCAAGACAGAGCCTCCTTCAGAACCTGGGGCTCCCTAATTCTGCTGGGCTGGCTGGCTGGTGAGCTCCAGGGATCCTCCTGTCTCTGTTCCTTGGCTCTGGGACTTGAGGTGCACCATGCTCAGCCTCTTATGTGAGTACTAGGACCTAACCCAGGTCCTTATGCTTGCATGGCAAGCTCCATACAAACTGAGCTATCTCTGTAACTACAACATTCCGCTTTAATATGATGTGCTATTCTCTGCATTTATTCATGGATTTGCCTAATATTTAGGATTTTTTAGATCTCATCTTGGGAGGAACTGATCAAAATTTTCCTTTTTATAATGTCCTTGCAGAATGTCCTTGTAGAAAGTGAAGTATTTAGCTGAGTGTGGTAGTATGTCCCTGTAATCCCAGCAAATTGTGAGGTACAGGCAGGAATATCAGGAGTTCAAGGCCAGCCTTATATAGTGTGTTTGGGGTCGCCTTGGGCTACAAGAAACTATGTCTAAAAAAAAATAAGGTATTTAGTATTTAAGACTGTATGTATTTACCATTTTAATGCATGTAATTCAGTGATGTTCTGTGTTACAATGCTATTCTGCCAATGCCACCGACTCCAGAACTCTTGTATCTTCTCAGAAAGAAACCCCAATCCATCAAGTAGCCACTTCCCATTTCCAGTTGCCCCTACTTCCTATTGGTCTGGCTACCCTAGAAATTTGCATAAGGCGGGTCATATACTATGTGATCCTTTGTCTCACTTCTTTCTCTTAGCCTTGTGTTTCCAAGGCTCATCTGTGTGGCAGTGTGCCATTGTTTCTGTCTGTTTTCTGGCTCAATAGTATTCCTGGATAGACAGACTGCCTGAGTAGGTCAGCTTTTGCTTATCTGCCCCTTAGTTGGTGGCCCTGGGGTTGTTGTGGCCTTCCATCCAATAGCGCTGCTGTGACTACTCACACACTCAAACTGTTCGGTTTGGATGCACTTGGTGCAGGTCTCCCCCAGTGAGTACAGGCACCTGTCACATAGACTAGGCATGGCGACTCTGGCGGCTCTGGAAGATGACAAATGGATATGCCAGGAGAAAGTCTGACAGGCCTGGCAAAAGCAGGAGTGAATCCACAAGTGCTGCCTACTGGGCACTGGGCACTAGGAGGAGAGACACCCTCCAAAGGCAGCCAGGGAAAGAGGCTCTTCTGAATTTCATTTTCCAAATATGTAGAGACACAATTTGTATTACAAGAGATTCTAAACAAATTCAACATCAGAAACAGCTGCCCAGCCTGATACAGATAGATAAGTGATAGCTGTTCCAGATGCTGTAACATTAAATGTGATTATATGGGTTGATACAGCTACCGAACCTAAAACCCGAGGGGTTGGTGTTGCTGAAGGTCTGGAAACTTGACTTTTTCAGAGGCCTCAGATGGATGTCATGGACCTGTCTAGGCTGTCCCTATCTCTCCACGACTCACTTCCCATTCCGGGACAACCTGAGGAAATGCAGCTGCTGTGTAAAGAGGTGGCCCCTGGGTCCGGGGACAGCCCAGGCTGGTGCCAGTGTGGAAACTGCCTCCCGTCGCGACTACCAGAGAATCGCAGGGCCCTGGAGGAGCTGTGCTGCCGTAGGAAGCCGGGACCCTGCATCACCACCTCCAAGCTCTTCTGGAAGCTCGTGCTGTCTAGGCAAGCACTGCAGCTCCTCCTGCTCTACCAGGAGCCCTTGCTAGTGCTGGAGGAAGAGGCCACCAACCGCAGGCTGCGACACTGTGCGTACAGGTGCTATACCATCTGGCGATTCGGCTCCCAGGACATGGCTAACTTTGCCATCCTGCCCAGCTGCTGCCGCTGGAGGATCCGGAAGGAGTTCCCCAAGACGGAGGGGCAGTACAGTGGCTTCAAGTGTCCCTACTGACAGCATGGCTGCCACATTGAGGTGGCTCACAGTGCAGCTTGTCTTACAACCTAGAGCCACATTCTCAGACACAGGGAACTTAGTTTTTCTCCCTTGTCAGCCCTTTGTATGTTGAAGACCTAGTTAGCCCTACCTGCAGGCGCACAAGCCCTCTCCACATGGATGAGAACCAGAGGCAGATCTGAGCCTGGAGTCTGGCCCTGGGCTTTAGTGTACGTAGGCTCCTCATTTCCCAGCCTGCTTTCTCTCTACTACCATGAGCACATTGAGATGGTGTAGGTGACCTCTTGTAAATGTTTACATAGCTCCATGGATGCAAAGGTCCAACCCTAAAAACAAACCCTTTGGGATTTGAGAATGCCCTGAGAGATTAAAGGTGGCCACAAATTCCTTAACACCCCCAGCCCAACCCTCAAGACCCAAAGTCCTTGTTTTCCCGTCCCCATTATGGGCAGCTCTGGTGGCTTCATCCAGTATGGATGTGGTGTTGCATCTATTTCAAGGCCTTGCTTTATGAGGCTAACAGCTTCCACTTCCTGCCCTTGGAACTCTTGCTGAGGGAAGCCAGCCCAAGTAGAGAGTCCGGCTACATTGCTGTGAGGAAGCCTGAGCAGCCCCACTGAGAAGTACCCAACCCTCTGCCAGCTCATCCCCTCTAAGCCTGGTCACCACATGGAGAGAAGCTGCCTTGAGGTGATTCCAGACCCTACTAACAAGTGACTGAAACTGCAGGAGACAGGCCAAGCTCCAACAGCCCAGTCAACCTAGGGGACCAGTCTCCTGTCTTACGTCATTACATTTGGGGCAGGGGGGTTGGCACACAGCAATAGGTAACTGGGACAAGAGGTGGACATTGAGGTCTGGAGTCACTGCAAATGTAATGCCCTATTGGACAGTTGTAAGAGGGCCCATTAACCCAGCCTAGAAGCCATCAAATCTAACTTAAACAAGCCTGATCCTCTTTGCTATCCCATGGTTCCAAGTGACTACTGTCAGAAACGGGTAAAAGCCACCTCTGTGCCTTTGACATCCTGGACTTTACAGTGTGGAGGTGATCGGCATGTTCCTTTAAAAAGCAGCCCAGACTGCCAGAGGCAGCATGATCTCAGTGCCCAGAAGCCCGAGGCAGGAAAGTTGGGAGTTCCGGGCCAGCCTGGGCTCCACTACAAGACCATGTCTTTTTGTCTTTTTTTTTTTTTTAGATTTATTTTTATGTCTTGAGTATTTTGTGTGAATGTATATCTGTGCACCATGTGCATGCCTGGTGCTTGTGGGGGTCATAAGAGGGTGTCAGATCCCTTGGAACTGGAATTGCAGATGATTGAGAGCCACCAAGTGAGTGCTGGGAACTGAACTTGAGTCCTCTGCAATAGCAACACGGGCTCTTAACTACTGAGTCAACTCTCCAGCTTCAAAACAGCCTCTTTAAAAAAAAATAAAAGTCATAATCATAATAACTAAAGAGAAGGGAGAAGAGGAGCTAGACAGATGCTTCAGAGGGTAAGAGTATAATTGTCTGCAAAGTGTGTGGACCTAAGTTTGGATCTCAGCATCCACACCAAGAGCTGACCCAGAGGGTGAAAGAGCTTGTCACATGATCTGATGGCCTGAGTTCAACCCCTGAAACCTTGGGGGAAGTGGAGAACAAATCCTACCAATTGTTCTCCCACCTCCACTCATGACAGACAGACACATACACACACACACACACACACACACACACACACACACTAATAATAAATAAATTAATCTTTAAAGAAAGCCAGTACCCTTCACTGTCTTCTCCAAGTGCTAAGCATACAGGAGTGGACAGTCACTGGTTTGGGGTCTGGCCTCATGATCTTTTTTACAGTTTTTCATTAGATATGACTACTGGATCCTAAAAAGACTTCTGCAGAATAGAGACTGTGAGTATTAGGAGATACTGTGACTGATGATCTGACACCTTCAGATCTACTCTGAGACTTACCATTTTGAGACTCTTAAGAACTAGAAGCAATAAATATAAACTGAAAGGAGACAGTTTAATGAATGATGGTGCTTGTGACAAGCCGGATGTCCTGGCCTGGCCTGACCCACACAATGGAAAGAAAGAACCGAGTCCCACAAGCTGTCCCCTGACTTCCACATGCAAGCACTAGCATGTGACCACCCTGATACATGATGTGAGTTTTAATAACAGATTTCTACTGTGGTGACATAAAACAGCATGGATAAAATCTATTTTTTTAAGCCCAGAGATTTATCTAGCTTTAAACTCAGGAACCACACTATTTGCATCAGCTTTGATTTTCATTATTCTATCTTTCTGGAGATATCTTTTAAAAGTGGACTGTATTTGACTTCAGAGTTGAACTGTTTAGTCTAAGGATGCTATGTAAGAGCTGCAGGCATCCCATCCTGTGGCCTCAGCATCTTCACACCTTTGTCTCATGCCTCCTTCCTAGTGACTCACATCTCCTTGTTGAGACCTCAAATAGTATAGTCACTGAGACCCCTCCAGGGTTTTCTTCTGCCTTGGTCACTGGTGCTGGGGAGGGTGACACTACCTTGTGTATAGAGTGACACTTTCCACAGCTGAGGTGATATGTGCATCCTTCCTGAGTAGGTAATGCCTTGGGCAGGGGCTGTGAGTGCCCACACCCTCCTTGGTCAGGAGGGAGAGCTGCTTCTTGATGCAGATGCCTGACTCCATGCAGAACTCAGATTCATGCCTCTCTCTAAAGGGAACCATCTTCTAAACCTTTCCTAATTTCGGGTTGGCAATGTAAGTTTTTAAAACTGTTTTAATAATAAACATTGATTTGAATTCATTTAAGTTTTCTCTTTGATTCCTTTTTTATTTTTTCAGAAGAGTACCGAGTCTCAGTGAATTCATTCATTTTCCCAGTAGACGAGCTTACTCCTCCCAAGGAGATACACGAGCATAGATAGTAATCAGATGATTAAACAATGAAAACTTGCAACCTGGGGTGCATATCAAGTTGAAGAAGGCAAGTGATGCTCTGAGGTCCTTTAATGGAAGGATTTGACATCAGGAGTTCTGCCTGAGGAAGGACAATTTAGCTAAACTATGCAGAGAAACTCCTGGTTAACTAGAATTCTAAGTGGGCAGGATAGAGCATTCCAGGCAATGATTAACAGCATGGGGGGGGGGATGGGGATGCGACACCACACACACACATGACCTATCGCAGATAAGATGTCCTGAAGTTAAAATCAATAGTCATCAGGTTGGAGGCTGGCACTCATGACCATCTGAAAGCAACCTCGAGTAACAACAAACAGGGTCTGGGAGGAGTCAGGGGAAGGAACAAAATGTGATGATCAATACATTGTATAAAGTTCTCAAAGGATAAACAAAAAAATTAAAGTAAAAACAACCTGGCAGGGCTGTGGTGATGCACACTTTAATCCCCAAACAAAGCAAAACTCAGAAGAAACCAGGGAATTTTCTTTTTTGTTTTGAGACAGAGTGTCACTATGCAGACCAGGCTAGCCTCTGACTCACAGGATATTTCCTTCTCCTCCTCTTCCTACCCTCTCCCCCTCTACCTTTTCTTTTCAGAGTCTTGTTATCTTTCCTTCGGAGCTTCAATCCTGTGCTTGGCTCAGTTTGTAACTATGCATATTGCATATTGACATATTTCATTTGCAAAATATTCTACTGGAAACTACACCTGGGTCAGGAAACCAGAAAAAGAGGAGAACGAAGCATCTTAAGAAAGACTGAACAGGTATTTACAGAGATGGGATAGACCAGTGGGCATCGAATATATCGATCTTACTTTGGCTTTATCGGTGTGGAATTGCAGGCTGGACCTTGCCTGAGGCACTGATTTGATGATCTTTATTCAGCAGTTCCTCGGATAAGGCACTGAGGGCAACGTCCACAGAGTTCAGCTCCCTGGATATGAACCAGGCTGGGAGGCAGGTGGGCAGATATGCCCTGTACCCTCCCACAGAGTCCAGGACTCCTGTGTGTCACCTGGAGTTGTTTTGCTTGATCAGGTTCACCTGTACTGGCTACTGTGTCCCTACAGAGCAAAGTGGCTCTGTAACCAAACATAATGAAGTCACATCTTGGTGAGGGCAAAGCCAAAGTAACACAGCCAAGGCATGAAAGATGGGAGGATTTACTGCCTGCAGCAGGCGAGGAGACCACAGGTTTATTTCCAAAGTGAGAACCCTGTGGGACAAAGAAATCACAAGATCTACACACACTCACAAGGCTGAGTCTATTTCTGAGTCTGTTCCTGAGCAGGGAGGATCTTGAGGATGCTCAGCTTAAGGACATAATTTAAAGAGAAAAGACGGGAGAAGGATTTTTGGGTGTGCTTCCTTCAATGCCATGGAGAACCCATGTAAAAGATCAAAGTGATGGACGGAAATGCCTCTGGCCATGCTCACTTTGTAGCATAAAGTTGCTTGTTTGTTTCATTGTATATGTATGTTTTGCCTGATGTGCACCTGGGGCCATCAGAGGTCAGAAGAAGAGATCAGATGTCCTGGAATGAGAGTTTAGATGGTTGTAAACTGCCATCTGGGTTCTGGGAACCAAACCCAGGTCCTCTGCAAAAATAGCAAGTGTTCTTAACCATTTAGCCATCTCTCCGGGGATGTTTTGTCTTTTCTGTTTTGTTTTATAAATGTATTGGGGTACTTCCCTTGCATGTGTATCTGTGCACCATGTGCATGCTTGGTGCCTATGGAAGCAGAATAGGCACCCAGAAGTAAGCATGGCTGGACTCCTTCTAACTGGAGGCCCAGTCACTTGGTAGCATCCATGTGGGTGCTGGAAACAAACCTGGGTTCTCTGAACAGCATCAAGTTTTTTTTTCTTTTGAGACAGTGTTTCTCTGTGTAACTTTTTGACTAGGCTGGCCTTGAATTCACAGAGTCCACCCGCCTCTGCCTCCCAAGTGCAGGGATTAAAAACCTGTGCCACCACTGCCCAGCTGATTTGCTTGTCTTTAGACATGTTTTATTTTACTTTGTGGGTGTGTAAATGGGTGCACATGTACCTGATGGGGAATGCCCTTCTGTATGCTGTGAATATATGTCTCTCTGATTGGTTAATGAATAAAGCTGTGTCAGCCAATAGACAGGCAGGATGTAGCCAGGCAGGAAGTATAGGTGGGGCTACCAGACTAGGAGAAATCTGGGAAGAGGGAAGGAGAGAGTTAGTCACCAGCGAGAGGCCATATGGCTACCAGTAAGATAGGATGCCTGGGCATTCTCCAGTAAGTTAAGACCACATGGAAATACATAGACTAATAGAAATGAGTTAATAATTATGAGAGAGCTAGACAGTAAGAAGCCTGAGCAATAGGCCAAACAGTTTATAATTAATGTAAGGCTCCATGTGTTTATTTGGGACTAAAGGGCTGTGGGACTGGGCAGGACAGAAACTTCCATCTACATGTACCGTGGAGTGCACATGTGGAGGTCAGAGGACGACATACTGAGTCAGTGCTCTTCTTCTGCCATGTTGGTTCTGGAAGCAGAACCCAGCTGCCCGGCTTGGTGACAAGTGCCTTTACCCGCTGATTCTCTCTGGCCCTGTAAGAAAGTCTTAGAAAAGGCTACATTGAAGGTACATTACCACCAGAGGCTGCCCCCAAAGGCGCCTGCCTTGCTTGCTGGCTTGGCAAGTAGGAAAGCTTGCATACCACCAGTGCAGTGGGTTAGTACTGTGTTTTGCCAGGTGACCTTCTGAATGAGGCACAGAGGCCCCATCGAGAAAGGCTGGGATGAGCTGTTGTGGAAATGAAAGTGTCTCCTGGGGAATGCAGGGAAGGCTGCAGCAGCTCTCTCACAGAACAGATCCCCAAGTGGCAATGAAACAAAAGCGGTGAAGTTAGAGCAAGAAGAGCATTTTAGAAGAAGGGGCTGTCCTTTTTGGGAAATTGACTTAAATTAACTTGGATCTGCAAAAACCTACTACATTTACAAAATAAATACCTGGATAGGTAAGTGGGTTTTGTTTTATAATGGAGTTCATGAAACAGATTCCTTTCAATAGCATTTGAATAAAATTA